GGCGTCACGGGGGGGGGGAGGGCGGGGGGGGGGTATGACGTGACGCCCCCCCCGCCGTGTGGTTTCCGGCACCACAGCCGCGCCCGCGCGCACGACGCGACGAGCGACGAGCGACGACGACGACGACGCGAGCAGCATGTAAGTGGCGATCTGTCCATTGCGCCTGTGTACACCACAACGCTCGCGTGCACCACGCCGCGCGTGTGCACCACAGCGCCTGCGTACACCGCAACAGCCGTGTGCAACGCACCGCCCGCGTATACCACAATACTTGGGAGCATTACAGCGCCGGTGTACATACACCGCAGCAGACATGTGCAACACAACGCCTGTGTACACCACAATGCTTGCGTGCACCGCAGCGCCTGTGCACGCCACAGCGCCTGTCTACACCACAGTATCCGCGTGCAACGCAGCGCTGGTGTACACCACAGCGCCTGCGTGCATAGGACAGGTAGAAGGAGCATGTACGTCAGGATCTGATGCGGACAACTAAACGCCACGCCAGGAAAGTTCTGATAATCGAATGCGACGTTTTCCCCTCCTCCCTCCTCCTCCTTCTCCTCCTCCTCCTCCTCCTCCTCCTCCTCCTCCTCCTTTTCCTCCTTCTTACCCCCCGTCGTGCGGCTTGGCGTTACAACGCACGTGCGCATCTCAGCGTGTACCGCAGAATGGTCCATTGAATCGGTCCACTTGGTTTTCGGACGGCCAGTTGGTTAGCTGGAGCCTCCTGGACGCAAATGGGAGTTAGGGTGATGCGGGCGGACTGGGGGACTCGTAGATTCCAGCGGCGCCCCTTTGTCCATGAGTGTGTGGCTGTGTTGCGCACGGCTGATGTGGGGCACACATTGCACGCAGGCATTGTGGTGTACACTGGTGCTGTGTTGCGCACGGCTGATGTGGTGTACAGAGACGCCGTGGTGTACACAGGAGCTGCTGTGCCCGCAGGCACGGTGGCACAAACTGACGCTGAGTTGCACGCGGCTGCTGTGGTGTACATCGGCGGTGTGGTGTACACAGGCGCTGTGGTGCACGCGGGCACTGTGATGTACACAAGCGTTGTGGTGCATATCGCCCCCTACATGTTCGTGCTACCCGTCCTCCGTCATTCCTAACCATTCCCAAACAACGCCGCCAGCGCGAAACGTGACGTCATCGACCCCTTCCCCCCAAGACGATTGCCGTCATCGGCCCGGACTTAAAAACAGGCTCCAGCCGCGTCCGCGCGCACGACGACGATGAGCGACGAGCGACGAACCACGAGCGACGACGACGGACGACGACGACGACGACGACGACGACGACGACGACGACGACGACGACGACGACGCCTGCGGACCAGACACTTATGCGGATTCCTACGCGGACACCTACGCGGATCCCAATGCGCACGGCGGCAGTGCCCGGAGCGCACTGGGGGGGGGAGCGTTACGTCATGGGGGGGGGGGAGCGGGGGCCATGACGCCCGTCATGCCCCAAGCAATAAAGAAATGGCCTCAAAAGACGTCCAGCAAAAAGTTGGGGGTACGGGATGCCCTTCTCCAGCACCGTGAGCACGAGGGTCAGGAGCTGGCTGGGGGTAGCAGATCAGCCCCGGCTGCATCAGGGGCAGCCATCGCCTCTCCAGAGCTCGAGGCAGGCTCGCGCGAAGCGGCCGAGGAACGCGGGGGCGGACCGGGAGACGCGGCAGTACCGGAGGGGGCGTCAGCCTCGTGGAGAGCAGCGACTCCGCATTTATCGGCTTGCGCGCAAGGGCCAGGCAAGTGGTGGTGGCGGCGGGCGCTCAGATTCCGCAGACGCCGCCGAAGTCTCCAGCCATCGAAGAACATCATTATCAGCTCCAGATGGCGGTGACCCAGGCGAGCTCGACGCATGCCGCGACGAAACAGGGGCCGGCCCAGAGGAGAAGCCGCCAACTGCCCACTCAGCAGGCGGGCGCCAACGTGAGCCAAACATATAGAAGAACCCGTCGTCGGACATTGCACCATGCCAGTGGAGGAAGCGAGGCAGGCCCCGCTGCGTCGATCTCGCCCATCGCCGCCAAGTCAGCATATGCGGGCAGCGGAAGGACGTGAGCCCCGCCCCGCTGGCTGCCCGTCCCTGCTGTGTGCCAGAACGGCGGCTGAGGGAAAGAAGTCTAATACGGGGCAGAAGACGGAGGCACCAGAGGAAGAGTAAGAATGTCCTCCCTCCCCAACCCACTCCTGGGCGTATTCCCCCCCTCCCCCCTCACCCCCTCGCTATATCCAAACTCCCTCTCCTTCCCACCCTCCCCTCACCCTCCCTGTCTAAGACGCAGCCAGGACATCGGGCGAGGGTAAATCAAGAATCGCTGAGATCCGGCGGCTCCAGAGGATGCCTCGGGCGCCGCGGCCTTCTCAGAACGTTCCAAGAACACTTTGGAACGGATTTATTCTCGTCCTAGACCAGTTCGGCGCTGGCTTCTGACACCGCGCGGACCGTTCGAATCTGCACCAAAGGCTCCGCGCTTCGCGCTTCGCGCTCCGCGAAGCGCGAACAACTTCGCGCTCTCGCGCCCACCCCCAGGGGAGACGAGGAGGAGCAGGAGGCGGAGCCGAACCGCGAACGGCGAACCGCGGTGCCTCCTCGTCGTCGCCCCGTCCGACTGCCCCCACGCCCCCCCTCCCGCGCCCTGCGCGCCCTGCGCGCGCCCTCCTTCCTGGCCGCAGCCCTCGGGAGGCCCGGGCCTCGGGCCTCTCCTCGGCGAGGGCCCGGATGGCCTCCAGCTGCTCCCGCACCCGGCTCTCCAGCGCTTCCATGGCCGCGCCGGCCTCGGGCGGCGCCAGCGCTGAGCTCTGGCCCCCCGCGTGGGAGCGGGCGGGGAGGGAGGCGAGCGAGGAGGGGGCCGCGAGCGCCAGGGTGCACGTGCTGCATCTTTCGGGAGTGCCTCGGGGGGTGCGGCAGGTGCGGGGCGTTCTCGGCGAGGACGGCGCGAGCCCAACTCTTCTGGGAGTGTGATCCCGAGGCTGCCCTTGATCGTGCTCCCCAGAGGAAATGGAGGAGGGCCAACCTCCTGAAGGGCATCCACACCAAGGGAGGGAAGGCCCCTCCCCTCGATGTTCCTCGCAGGCTTCAACTCACGGACTACGCTGTCCACTGGCTCGGCCCGACATCCATAGCATGACATAGTCCATGCAACTCCTTGTCTTGTTTTCGTTCGTCCCGGGTCGCCTCGGATTCGCCTCCGATCCTGGGTTCTCGTCTTCGGGGCCTCTCGTCGCGGCCGTGGTGCCTCGCTTGGGCCTTGTGCGCCCTGGGACCCCGAAGCACTCTGTGCTCGATCGCGCTCGTCTCACCTTTTTCCCGCCGATCTCATCCGTCCCCGGTCCGACTCGGCGCGTCGCACCATGGGATCGCAACTCCTCCTCCTCCTCCTCCTCCTCCTCGTCCCCCTTTTCCTCCTCCTCCTCCTCCTCCTCCTCCTCATACTCCTCCAACTCGGTCGGATGGTCGGTCGAATGGCGGACAATAGGTGCCAATATGGTGAGAAAAAGAAGCGAGATTGACCAAAGAGTGAAGAACACGGCAGGCAGCAAGAGAAGAACGGGTAGGCGGACTGGCACAGCTGCAGCGCACAAGGCGCAGCCACACACGTCGACGCAAGAATCTGGTGTACTATCACTAAGCGGGTGAGACTCGAGACAGATAAAGGACATGCAGAACTAAATAGGAAAAGCGGATATTTTCGCCCACGACAGTACATTGGTTACTGCCTCAGGCGCAGCTGCACCCTGCATGGGTCACAGCACGCACTGCAGGTATTGCCAAAATGGTGAAGCACCAGGCGGCACCCGCGGGTGCGACTTCCCTTCCCTGGTGCCCTTCGCCAGTATAAATGACGCTGCTGCCCGCGCAACAGCTCTGCAACTGTAGGCAGAACAGAACACCAACACAACAGAGAGATGGAGAGAGAGACGGGCAGTGGTCGTCACATGGTCGGCACATCAAGGGCACGATGGCTCATACAGCCCATGGCAATCCCACGTGCCAAATAAAATCCAAAGGTGACGCAAACTGTCTGGGACCAACCGGAATGCTCCATCCGTCGTCGCACCCGTCGAGGTCCATTGTCTCCCTGAGCGCTCTTTCGTCGCTGGGGGTCCAATGCACTGGTGGCCTGTCGAGAGGGGGGGACAGCGGAGCGGGCCGGTCAGTCTGGCATCACAGATCGGGGAACTTAGCCCTCACTTCCTGGAGGACGCACGCAGCGAGAAAGTGACAGAGCCCAGGAGGGTAGGCCTTGAGATGGGAGGTGCGCCAAAGGCCATCCTCGCCAACTCCCCAAAAGTCCGCGGCGCGGCCTAGAGTGTGCGCAATGGCCGCGGCCCTCTTCGGCTTCTAGCAGGGTCCCCCTGGAGCCCAAAAGCACCGCCAATAGCGTCGTGGGCTTGAACGCTCTAGCCCCGAACGTGCATCGGTGAACGTGGTGTTCGCGCACGCGTGGGAGGCCATAAGTCTCTTAAGCCCGGGCAGCTTCCAAAAACTAGGGGCCTCAGGAAGCACGATACTGATGGAGGGGTGCTCCATGACAGCTTGAATCCCGTAGATTCAGCACTCGCAAAGGAAACTCGGGCCGAGCGAAAGGGGGGGATAGCAAAGGGGGGAGAGAATCAGATCACGAAGCTGATTTTCCTGGCGCCTCCCGGCGCCGGAGGCGGCCATGTATCGAGGAATGGGGCCGGCGGCGGGGCCGAAACCAGCTGCACGCAGCAGATTTCGTACCCCCCCCTTTCCCTATCCCCCCCTTTCCTAAGGTTCCCAACTTCGCGCTTCGCGCTCCGCGAAGCGCGAACAACTTCGCGCTCTCGCGCCGCCCCCCCCAGAGGGAGAAGAGGAGGACGAGGAGGAGGGGGAGAAGGAACGAGGACCGCGAAGCGCGAATAACTTCGCGCCCTCGTGGGAGCCCTTGTTTCCCTATCCCCCCCCTTTCGTTTGGCCCGAGAGACGACGGGTGGAGCGAAGGAGGACGTCTCCCAAGGCGCAGCTGCTCCTCCAAGCAGATTCTCGGCGCGGAGGGGCCTCGGGCGGAGCCCTCCAGGGGCCGTCCCGGGAGGCGGGCACAAAAGCGCGCCGTGGGCCACGTCTTCGCGGATGCCACAACAATGGACACCCTAACGGTCCTCTCATTGAATTTTAAGTGTGTTTCAAATGTAGGAGCAGTGTTCTAAACAGGCTTTAGACATGTTGAAGACATGTGTTAGACTTCTGGAGAATATTTGGCAACATGCTTCCTCTCCATTGATCCATGTTTCACAGGGGGGTGGTCCCGCGAGCATCGCTGCGACGTGCCCTGACCTGACCAGGAGGGTCCACGGGCGTGATGAGGCAGGGGCCGTTACGTCACCGTCAGCTGGATGATCAGCGACGTCGACACTCGGCGCAGCATCGTCAGTCGGCAAGGCCACGAACGTCCCTTCTGTGAGCCCGTGGAAATCACGTCTCCTCCTGAACCCCGGGGGCAGATGAAAGATGTGTACGTGGCAGGGCGGAAGGGGCGCGGGCGGGGATCGCAAAAACCTGATGGCTTGGGTCGCCGGGAAGGGCATCCGCTTGCAGCGGCGTCAGACTGGCCGTTCGCCCGTCCCCTTGCGAGCGCAATCTTCGGCGCAATAGCAGGTCCCTGGCACTGGCGAAGGGGTGCAGCTGCAAGCTTGGCCGGCCTGCCCTTGGCGCGGCTGTCTAAGCTGATCTGGCGAGCTTCGCTTCGCGCCTGCCCCAACTCATCAGGGGCGCGAGAGATCGCGCGCTGCCCCCGCGATGCGCGACAGGATGGGTAGTTCCCGAGGCGTTGCGTCAACCTGGGAACATTACCAAAGTCTTTCAAGCACATCTGTCACGGAGATCCTACGGCTGAGGCGGTTGGCGAATCACGAACCTCGTGGTGTTTTCCCACATGCACCCGCGTGGTCTGTTCGGACTCCGATGCGCGCGAACAAGACAAGATCGGCACTGGAACACATGAGCAGGAGGCGGGTCAACGGCAAGTGGGGTGCTTTGAGCAACCGTCCTGAGCCTCGTTCCCACATGAGCCTGTGGCAGTCATCAGCAACTAAGGGCATACCACGCGCAATGGCAGACCTGGTTAAGCTTTGAAGGTCCCCGTGGTGGGATCTAACGCAGCGCGCCATGCCTATGAGGAGGTGTATGATGGCTTCTTGGACGGGTCGGCGAAGAAAATAGCCACTGGAATTCCTGAGCAACATGCTGGGCCCACCCTCTGGGGCCATGCCAAGTCAGGTCAACCAGCGCGCAGGAGATAACTGAGACGCGCAATACTCAAAACCATGTGTACAGGAAATCTCTGAACATCGTACAATGCTCGTGCCGCTAAATCATGCTCATGTACGTTATTGGTGGAGGGGAGATCAAAAGCAGCACGGCATACCGCACATGTGCTGTCGTCATCTTGGTCACTTGCGTCATTGTTCAGGCCAGCCAAGCAAACACCCCATAATGGAGCACAGAGGCGGAAAAGACTTCAGAACGCAAGACCTTGGCAACAAGATAGAGAGCCAAGCAGGGTCCCATCGTGGCCTCAATAGGTGACACGGCGGCCTTGGCGCGAGAGATAACAACAGCAACTCAAAAGCCACGCTGCCTGAGGCCGCGAATTGCACCCCAAGAATCTTGCGCAGAGAACAGATAAGGGGGGACAAAAACACTTGACCGACACTATCGCGGCCGCAGTGCCGAACGACAAATCAGAGACCCCGCGCGACCCAAGTCCCCGAATATGAAACGAAAACTTGGTCTTGGCGGAGTTGGGGCGAAGCCCAAAGGTGAGGCGCGCCGCGTAGACTGCCTCAGAAACTGCTAGAGCCAAATCTGGAAGGCCGCGTGCTTTCTCGATGATGACCGGGGCAATTAAGTCATCGAAAAAGGAGAGATAGGGCTGGGCGGCATCCCAGTCGTCGGGTCGCGAGCAGACCAAACCTGGAGCATCGAAAATGTCGCGAATACTTGAAAGAAGCGTCGCAACTGCATCTCAAACCTTCAACAGTACTGAGCGGAAGACCATGTTAGAAAATCGGCGGCGAGGACGGTGCTAGGGCGCGCGCCTCCCCCTGGTGCGACCTACTCCTTGACACTCCGAACTTGCTGAAATGTGCCCCACTGGGCTTCTTAAACGATGGCCAGCACGTGCTTCTGGGGGGGCATCTGCTCCTCGAGTGGTTTCCTGGCCTCTCGAATGGCGCGAGCCCCATTGCGCAGTGCCGGCGGAAGACGAACCTGCTCAAGCGCATCCTCAGGCTCATCCTTTTCTCCTGGGAACGGAAAATGCAACGTGCTCAATGGCGCCATGCAACGCAATGCGTCGGCCAAGTCCAGCGAGAGGAATGGAAACGAGAGCCGTTTCCTGACGGCAGCAACACTAAGTAAGTGGAGGCCACGAAGGGGCATCTCTGGGCCCTTGCGGGCACCCCTCCCCAGATTGTCCAGGGAGAAGACGCATCCCAAATAAATCCAAAGCAAAGGCCTTGATATGTCTGTGGCGCAGCTTACAAATGGTACTAGCCATAATGCGAATCTTCCGGGAACGAGCGAGTCGCGGGGGGGCCGAACCCATGGAGAAAAAGGCAACCCCACCCATATTGAAAACCAGCGGTTCACGAGCGGCCAGGGCAACTTTACGCGGGAGGAAGCAGAGGGCCTGGGCCAGAGCCCGAGGGGCATGTCCGAAGGAAACCCATCGGGACCAGCAGCCTTATCTGTTCACAAGTGCCTGATGACGCGCTCAATGTCCACTACTGACGGAAGGGCCCAAGCATCT